GTGTCGGAATTATTTAAGGAGGAATAAGAAGAAATTATTTAGGATGAGAACTCAAGAAGGAATTATTTAAGGAGACCTAATAAAGAAAACTGGTAGATTCTTCCATGCTGGTCTTAGATAATCTGTAAAGCATTTGGTGTGGAACTCAGTAGGGAGTACTCATGAAGGTCCTTGCTGCATAATACTGGTAAACATTTTAATGCATCAATAGTCAACAAGTAGTGGTCCTCTCTGGCTCTGTGAGAGTTACGTGAAGTCTGGTTCTATCCATGTGACTGAGCAGAAAGCCTTTCAGTGTCACACTTCAGCTCAGCTCTGAGGAACATGTGCATCATTGTTCTCCCAGCAGGGAGTTGCAAGTTCGAGGTTCACTCACAGCAACTCACCTTGCTACAGAAAAAATGCACCAAAGAATCTGGATTCTATTTCAAGAAGCCTAGAAATTACACTACATGTGGTGGATTGGAGACTGGTGGTCAACTTGTAACACCTGGTTGAACTGAACCATTGTGGTGCTGGGTGTGTGGGGTCCATCTGCTAATGTTGCCAACAGCAGAAAAGTCAAAACTGAAGTAGGAGGAAACGGAGAAGGAGGAGAAAGTGAAGAAAAGGGGAGGAGGTGGAGGAAGACAGGGAGAAGGAGAAGCAAAAGAGAGAAGGAGAAGGAGAAGGGCTGTTAGGGAAGTTGTATGGAGCTGTTGGTTTTCCTGGAGAAGCTTCTCATGCTGGCTTTTCTGATGAATTCAGCTGTTCTCATTATCAAAGGGGCTCACTTTGTTGTCTTTTATAATTGGTATGACTAATTTTGGCAAGCTCTGGTCAGTGCCATAAGCATAGCTTCCTGGCTCCAGAAGGGAAGGCAATGCCCTACTCATCTGAGTGGACAAGCTTGTTGTGTTTGCTTTCCTGATGGGAACTCTAGTTTCCTCATCATCAGTGGAAAATCCGAACCTTACTGTTGCTAATGTTGTCTGTGATACCTTTTAGGAGCACTCTGCTTCTTACCTTGAGCATTGTTTCCTGCATCCAGCGCAGATCCTTCAGCCTGCTGGAACAAATCCTTCATCATGCTGACACAGGCTTACTGGCTTCCACCACTGACCTCTGGGACTTCCCAGCACAGTCCATGAAATGGGACTGAATGAGACATTGCCAGAGGCCCTAGGCCTCCAGCTGGGCTCATATCAGGCATTGTTATGAGCTGTAAGTCTTCAACTGCACTCATGCTGGGTATTACTATGGGATCCAGGTCATCAGTGAGATACTTTGGTCACTTGTGTGGGGAAAGATTACTTTTCTTTCTTTGTTCTGGGAATCAAATTGATAACCTTCAGCTTGCCTGTCAATCACGGTATTGCTGAGCTACATCCCCAACTAGATAGATATCTTAAACTCTCCTTGCACATGATTATTTGTGTGACCTTTATAAAATGAAAATATAAAATATGTGTCTTCTTTTGTATCATTTCCCTTGCAAAACCCCAAATGATGACACTACACAATTGTAAATATCTACTGAGAAGCAGAAAACAAAGTGTGAGGCGCTTTGAGGATAAAAATTGGGTCTTCACATAGACACATGATCCTGCACATCTATGAGTGTATTTCCCTTGAAAATGCAATCAGATAAGTGTGTAATAGTCCAGAAAATGTAGGACAACTTTTGTTTCTGAGACAAGTTTTGCCTGTTTCAGTGACATAACATCATTTGTCTGTTGACCTCAGAGCCTTGGGATATACCAGTTTTGGAATGAGCAAATGGAAAGCGGAGAGTGAACATTGATTACAGCCAGGACCCTGAAATGGATGTGTATAGTATATGTCCATGGAACATGGATTCATGCTGTGTGTTATGCACATGTGCTGCATATACCTCACAGGACTCCTCTCCTCTCTTTGTGCGGTTTTCATCTTCCCATGCCCTCCTTCATCTGTAAGCAGTCCAGCTCCCCAAGGAGCTCTTCCTCTACATCTCCTGGACTAGAGACGAAGGCACTGGGTCAAGAGCAATGAACCCAGAGATATCACTGAGCTCTTTCAGGCTCATTCAGCATCCTCCACCCAAAGGCAGATCCACAAAATTCTACATGCTCTGTCTGCTTTCCATCTTTATGTACAGTGTGCACCCCTCATACAAATGCTTTAGGAGCTACTAGATAAACTCATGTTGCATCTCAGAATATTCTTTGTTTGTATCTCAATAGTTTTTTTTTTGAGTCATAGTCTTGCTACACATTTGGGCTGGCCTTATGCTCAGTTTTGTAGTAATTTTTCTTAAAGTATTTAACACAGGGTTTACAGGTTCTCACTTCACAGATTGGACTCACAGTGATCCCTCTGTTTTCAGCCTCTCAAGCACTAGGATTACAGGGAAGCACCACCACTCCTACTCTCAATCTTCCTCTCAGCATGCTCCGGGGGCAAGGCCAGCACGTCATGTCAAGGATCAAACTTCCGACCGTGCAAGTGCCTAAGCAGACACTTTAATCCACTGAACTATGTGACCAGCCCTTTGTGCTCAGTTTTGTTGTACCCAGGCTGATCTCAAACTCATAGTGATCCTTCTGTCTCAATCTCCTCAGCGCTGGAATTACAGGAATGCACCACCAGGCCTTATTCCGTGTATATCAATATTTCAAATATTACGTGAGATTTGTAAAGCTAGTCTTCAAGAACCTGCAACACTGCTGTTTCCTTGTCTTTCTGGTGGAAGTTTCATGTGTGAGTGTTGTGAAATTAAGACAGAATGACGTGAAGATGCTTCATCTGATCTCAGGACTCACTGTTTTCTCCCCTATGCTGTTCCATGTATTTCTGCAAGAGATCATACCTGGCCAGTAAAGCCTTCACAGTCCCTGTCTCTCAAGTGCATTCTCTGGTTACTCCTCTTCTGGTAAATTTCCACTATAGCTGGATACTCTAGCATCCAGGAAGCAAAAGGAGAGGATACAGCAAGTTGGTAATAGCTGAGGTGCAGCTTGGTATTCATTCTTGACAAATGAGAATTTCTTTTTTCTTTGTGTATGTATTTGGTACAGGGTCTTACTATAAAACTCAGACTCATAGAGATCCCCCCGTTTTCAGCCTACCCAGCATTGGGATAACAGGTGTGCACCGCCACCCTCAGTCTCGGTGGCTGGCTCAGCACTCCTGGGACGGGGCTGGCAATACATGTGGTTCCAGGGATCAAATTCCAGTCCCTGCCCTTTCCTGAGCACATGCTTATTCCACTGTGCTATCTCACCTGCCCATCAGCATTTCTAAAGACACATTCAGGTTCCAGTTCACACATCTCTTCTCAGTATCAAGGAAAAACATTACCATGCAAGACGTTTTCTAAGGGACATAAGTGTGAACCCAGCTACAAAGCTATGCATAGGGAGGTGCAGATCTGAAGGGGTGCACAGGATCAAATATGTTCCTACCTGACATCACATAAGTGTCCTCAGGACCAGTATGGAAAGCTCTGGACCAGAAGTGGTAATCTGCAGAGAACCAGGAGTGGCCCCAGGAGAACATGCAGTGAGAGCAGCTGAGGAGTGAGGGCTTCCTGTCAGTATCTGAGTTTCCCTTCAAACTCAGAATAATATACACTGGAGAGTACTCAGAGTGTGTCTCTCCAGCTCATAGATGGAGACTTCAGACTCCATAGAGTGAAAGGGATTTTGGTTACAGAATATATTTACACATGTATATTTTATGTCCTTCACATGGATGTCTAGGGGAGGGCATGAACAATTTGAAAATACTAGAAAGGTGACTGTGGATCTTAAAAATGAGGGTGCTTTGGCATACAGAGTTCTCATCATCATCATCATCATCATCATATAAAATTTGATTGATCATTTTGTCACTATGAAGAGAGACTTTCTCATGCAGTAACAAATGTTTGTTTAAGGAAAGCTGGAAGAAAAGATACTCTAGGTCTGGAGATGCGGCTCAGCAACACAAACCTCACCTGGCAAGCACGACCTCCTGAGTTCAATTCCTTTACGAAACAACAAATCATAACAAGGAGGTTTCACAGAATCTGACAGGAGAATTTGTGAGTATTTCTTCTTTGTATCTCTTGAACATGGGCATGATTTTGGCAATATTTAAAAAGTTGTATACTTATGTCAAAATGTACCTCATTTGTCAATAATTCACAACATAATGTATTTCATACTCTAATTCATATATGTGTAGCATAGTTCATAGTACATAGCTTAATGCAGAGATTAAAAAAGTGATACAAGATTCTTGTACTTATGCTTGAAAGAAATTGTTTGTTCATTTATAAACATATTACAATAAAGAAAAATCCGTCCATGTTCTCTCAGTGAAAGAACTGGTCTGCCAAACATCATGAAACATGAAGGGTTACCCTGTGTCTTGAAATGGTTCAGATTGCAACTGAAAACTGTGGGAAGGAGTCTGTTATGTAAACCCAGGATGCTTTCACAGCGTATGAGCTCACAGCTTATGGGTCATCATGCTCCTCATTCTGTGTTCACACCAGCAATGTGTGAAGTGGCCAAATCCATCACTTATCTGTATGGAAGAGTAAGTACAATAGATGAGGTTAGGTGTTCATCACTACACAGACACATAGCAAGGAGGCGTGTGTTCTATGGTATTAGGGATGTTCCAAAAAACCTCTCAAAACTCTCTTGAGCTTTGGACGCTTTCCTCTCTGAGGCTTCCACAATGGAGCTGTCTATATAGCAGGAGGGCATGCAAATATTGCCTCCCTCTGCTGATGAAAACCAGCCCAGCCCGGATGCCCCTGCAGCTCTGCAGAGGAGCTCAGCCCTGGGTGTCCAGCTGTTCCTGCTAGGTGATTGGGGCCACGAACAGACAGCACATCATGGAGCTGACGTTGAAGTGCATTTTTCTTTTTGCTATTGTAAAAGGTAACTGATGAACGACAAGAATGACTGACTTTGTAAGGGGCATGAGTGAGACAAACAGTGGGCATATGTGACCATTTGCTGAGCAGGATGTCTCTGTGTTTGCAGGTGTCCAGGCGGAGGTGCAGCTGGTGGAGTCTGGAGGAGGCTTGGTGCGGCCTGGCGGGTCCCTGAGACTCTCCTGTGCAGCCTCTGGATTCACTTTCAGTAGTCATGCGATGAGCTGGATTCGGCAGGCCCCAGGGAAGGGGCTGGACTGGGTCTCAACAATTATCTATGATGGTAGTAGCACATACTACGCAGACTCCGTGAAGGGCCGATTCACCATCTCCAGAGACAACAGCAAGAACACGCTGTATCTGCAAATGAACAACTTGAGAACTGAGGACACGGCCATGTATTACTGTGCAAGAGCACAGTGAGAGAAACCTCAATGTGAGCCTGTCATAAACCTCCCTTCAGGGTTGCTTAGGACCAGCAGGGGGCGCTCGGGACACAAAGATGTTTCTAAACTTGCTAGTGTTTTAAGTGGCCCTAAGGCTCTGGGGCAATACAAAGAGCAACTAAGCAAAGAATAAAAAATCCAAACTATGTAAAGCGCTGCTAAAACCAAAAATGGTTGATTGATTCACGGGCTAACTTTAAAGCTCTCCAAAAAGCAAGAAATATAGTATAAGAAGTTACTTCTATACAACTGGCAAATTTTCATTATTGAAACTGTCCATTCTGCAGTTTGTATCCTGTACTTTATGAGGCATAAAAATTTTTGAATGTTTTATAACATCATATAAAACTAGATAGGAGCATTTATTAGAAAGTTGCAAGAAGAACAGTTAGCACGTATTCTAACATGTCTATCACAGGCAATACTGTGGTTATGATACCTGCATCGCTTGAAATTACTAAGATAATAAAGAATACACAAAGAATATCTGTCAGCTGCATGCAACATACAAGTGACATTCCCATTTACCCACAGTGATAAATCATATAATACTGTCATAAAATGGTCTTATACTGAGAAAAAAAACCCAACAAAAAGAGTGATATGGAAAACCAAGGTATTCAGAGATTTCAAGTCATGAATTTTTTGAACTGATCCCAAATTTTTTACAGCAGTTTTCAAAAGATTTCCTGAGCCAACATTACTGATAAAGGTTACACATTTAGTGTTTCACACATTTCGTTTCCCATGAAAGATCCTTGATAAATATTGAAAATGTGCAGGCTTGAGATGACACCGAATAAAATTCATTGTCTCTATTTATCACCTCGAGTGCTTTCAGATCACAAATTTATTCAATCAAACAAACTCCATAAAAATCAAAATGACACAATGTGTACTGTTAATAAATAAAAACACCGGTAGTATAAGAGAAAGACAAAGAAGTCGCTTATTAAAGCAAGACTAACTGAGTGGAAAACTGACTATTGCACAGTAAATCACATGGAAACAATTGCAGGGTGAGGCAATATAAGACAGAGGTCATTGTGAGGACCACTGAGCTTTGTGCTGAGCCTGGCTGACCTTGAGGGTGAGGCTGTGGAGGTGTGAAGAGGGAATGAATTGATCAGTGGGAAGTGTGTGGCCACCATTCTAACAGTTCTTTTGCTCTCTTGTTCCTTGACAACCACAAGAAAAACTCATTTGATGAAATAAAGGATGAATCCTTTTGTCTTTTGTTTAATAACACTTGAAAATATAAAATTCTACGTTTCCAAGTGTCTATTCTTTTTCTGCTCCAGCACTCTTGTGTTGTAAAAACATCTACTTTTTATGTGTTTCTTTCAATGCTCTATACTTTATCTACAATTTCATTCCTTGTATAAAGCTCACAAACACATTTAAAGGAAAGTGGAAGTTAATTTCCTGTCAGGATTGGGTTTTTTTCCACGTGATACTTGTCCCTATAGTATTCTGGTTTCATGTCTTTCTTTACCTCTGAAGTATCAGTTACACAAGTTTCTTTTTGACAGGAGAACACATTTTCAACTCTCCAGAACTGTAATTATCATTTGCATCCAAAAAAATTCTGCTTCATTCATCTGGCACAGATCCTGGAGAAGCTCAGAGGAGCTGGGTCATAGCCTAGATGGAAATTGGATCTACAGCAAGGATCACCGTGAGCTCAGGTACAAACCTCACTTCTGGGTGATCAGGACACACCGACCCTGGTCCTTATAGCCCAGCGAGGTGTAGTCCCTTCAAAGGGAGCCGAGGAACACTCAGTGTGATCAAGTTGCTCGGGAGCCGGCCCTTCCTGGGTTCCAACACAGAAGCAGCTGCGCTGAGGCCCTGGGGAGACGTTAGCTGCTGAGTGCTGGGTCCTCCTGCCTCTTCATCCTGCTGTGACTCATGTCCCTTGCATTAAGTAGAGTAATGATGGGCCCTGCACATATTTCATGGTATCTTCTTCACACAAGATGTCTGATAACATTTTATAACTATAAATATGATAATCATTTACTTACTAAAATAGTGTATATATCATCAATTTCATCAATTAAAATTTTAAAACTTCATTATGTTTGAGCACTTCCCATTAAGAAATTGAAGCCAGGAGCACGACATCAGAATAAATCACTATCCTAAATCCAAAGATATACCAAATATTACTTGCTGCCCCTTTCCCTTCTTGGTTTCCCTCTCCCTGACACATAGCGAGTACAAATCCATTACTTCATTGATGGATTTACTTTTTCTAGGAAAGGTTCTTCAGCTTCAAAGAATAGAGAGGAATAGAAAACACTTCTATCCATTTGAAGCTTAGCAAAATAATTTCAGTTTTTTGCATTGTAGGTTGCTTTCTATGGTTAGGATAAAAAAGGCAGGCAATGTACACATTGGTGAGCATATGCTGCTAATGGTAATTAGCCAGAGACATTCACGGAAGGTCACAATCTGCGAACAAACACAGGTTTATTTAGTGTACATGGATGATGTCCCTAGACTGGTGCCAGTCAGGAGCATCGACTACAAAGACAGAATCACAACAGCTTTGTAGGAGTTGGTCCAATTGCCAATAATAGAGTTTCTAAAAATACCAGGTACTTTCCAGCAAGGTGGAGTACAGTGTGCATCAGTAGATGACAATAGTAGTCATGGGCAGTCATGAAGTTATTGTAACCTAGCAGGGATTATCAGAAAGAGCATTTTTCAGAAATAGAACTGCTTGCATATGGAAACTACTTATCATATGATTTGGAGAACAGGCATGAGTTCAACTAAAGTTCAAGAACTCTAAGGTGGAATTGAGATACACATTGGAGTCTGACACCTGTGATAAAATTAGAGCTCTTAAAAATGGTGAGAAGATTGTGTAACTTCATAGCTACTTTGCAAGTAGTTTAATATCTTTCACAGTTAACAATACTTCTCTTTATATGATTTATAAAATTGGATAATTCAGAATTTTGAAACATCACAGTTGCTCATAATTGTACAAGCTGACATTACTACAAATATTCTTCATGATGACCAGAACATAGAAACTGCACAAATAGTGAAAATAGTACAAGTGTGTACCAGTTCATAGAGAAAAGCACACTCAGTCTTAATAATCCACAAATTGATTCCCACTTAATTTTCTGATCACCTGGCACAGGGTGACCTCAGCCCCAGGTAGTTAGTACTGGTCCTATTTTATTATGTCAGCCTGGTAATAATCTATTTTCTGTTGTAAACTCATTCCATTATTGTGCTTGAGAAAATTTATTAATTTACAGTTAACCCACTATGTGGGGGTATATTTTAAGGGTTTATCGTAAATAAAGACCAATGTTTTTATGTGCCTACATTTGTAAGCTGATGAAAATCTTTCTTTATAAAAACCAGAAGCTTAGTATATTTAAATAAGCAATCTAAGCAACTACATTGAAGACAACAATGTGAAATATAACAATTATTGCACACTTAAAATGAACATTTTAAAAAGAATATTTAAATAATTACTTACAGACAGGGTCTCACTATGAAGTTCACGTTGACGTTGAGCTCCCTTTGTAACCCAGGCAGTTCTTGAACCTGCATTGATCCTCCTGACTCAGCCTACCGAGTGCTGAGATTACAGGTGTATACCACCATTATTGGCTTATCTGATTTCTTTTTAATCATTTGGTGCTTGCTTTTGCTTTTCTGGTATTGAGATATCTAGCAACTGATAGGTAAGTGGCCTGCAACTGGACTGTATACCCAGATCTATTTGCATATATTAAAAATTAATGATCATAAGTATCCATGAATGCTGACTGACACAAACCTGTGCAGATATTTCACATAAATATTACATTAAGCATGACCAAAGTTATAGAGTATAGGCTCTTTGTGTAAATGGTGAAAGAGAAAAGTTAATGTAGGGCCTGCCAAATAGCTCAGTGAATTAAAGGGACTGCTTAGGCAGATGCAGCAGCTGGGGTTCGATCCCTGGCGTGCCATGCCAGCCCTGTCCCCAGGGCATGCAGAGAGAGTGATTGAAACTGTGCTGGTAATCCCAGCTCTTGGGAGGCTGAATACAGGTGGATCATTACGAGTCCAATCTATGTAGTGAGACCTGTAGACCCTGTACACTCTTACTAAAAAATACAAAAAAGAAGAAAAGAAATGTTAATGTAAAACAACATGAAGATGTCATTAAAAAAATGGTCATGACCTGCCTGAAGTTAGGACGCACCAGGGAATCAGCATGTGGGGCGGTTGCAGAGTAGCCGCAAGACACTGTGCAGGATGACACAGGTGTTCACTAGTGTGATTGTGTATGTGGTATGCAAGTGCCCATGTGTGTTAATTCTGCTCAGATGCATATTTCATACATGGGAAGTTTGTGTGTTATATCTGTCACAGATTACCAATTTTTAAATATGGAAAAACCGTGAGAGATTAATGACAGTTGAAAATGAGAGATTCACTACTGCGCATCCACATAAACATTGGTTCGGTTTTCTTTCAGCAAACAGAGGAATGTAGGAACATCATTCATGTTCTCCCTACAGGAAGAGGGAAATAAAATCAGCACCAAGTGTCTTCCTTGTCCAGGAGCTAAAACATCGACTAATTTGTTCACAGCTTGGAAGACTATAGGCCCAGACAGCAGGAAGAATATTTACAGCACATGAGCTCACCTAAAGGAACAGGATAACTATCCCTGTCAAACTGTGGTCGATACTTTCATAATGCTGCATATTTTTATTTTTTTTCCTTTTCAAAGTTTTATTAATAAACACATAGCAATGAGACAGTTTCAAATCAAATCGAAAGTACAGTTTCAACAAATAATACACTGCATATATTCTTCTTAGTGGTTAATTGCT